GGCTCGGAGTCAGTATACTGTGTCTGAGTGGGGTATTCATGTTAAACTGCGGCATGGTATCTCAGTGAGCTAGTACTATAAATCGGCATCAGTCCGGACTAGTACAAGCAATCACACACACATGCACACACGCACACGCACAAACACACTCACAAATACACACACACGTACATTCACTTCGCTATATAAGTGCAATAATCTAGGACGCGACGTTAAACCCCATTTCACCTCACCTCACCTTTAATGTGGCGTAACTGTATGTTGCGAGCATACTCAAGGGCTAGGCTGTCTCTCTTGTTGCAGCAGAGAACTTCTTTATGCATTTGTTTTATGTTCCGACTCTAGAAGGGTTATTTTGTACAACATTGTGGATATTAGCAGTTTGATAGCTGAACGATCGACTGGAGGTGGGTGGTAGAGGGGGGTAACGGTATATGGAGAATTGACTCTGATATTCTATTAACAACTACTAAAAGAGTGTAGTGTGAAATGGAGAAAACTTCACATTTGTTGCACTGACATATGTAACTGCTTAACAATGCTTCTACTCCCTTCCCGAAGAACTTTATAATAGTAGTGTATGTACTACAATAGACAGGGTCGCCTGAGTTCATATTTGGTGGCCAATATAAGTGTTTCTAAGAATATCTATATAATTTTATAACTTATTACTTCAGCATAGTGTTAAAAAGATACACACAAATAAAAAAGTGTGTCACCCAAAACATATTGTCAGCAAAAGTTTCAAAAGGTTGCCATGTCAATGTTACGCATATACCAGTCTTGTGGGATAAGGCACATTGTTTTACCACTGCAAGGACGGCCATTTGTGGATATTCTTTTGAAACGTCGGCACAGCTCCTTCACGATCACAATGCATGTCACTACCATCTCTTATGATTTCCTTAGGGCTTGGGGAAGGTGCAGAACAGAGTACAGAAAATATTTATATTTACATGCGGTTCTGACTGGACTACGGAAAGAATTCATACACACATGTAGTTTTGTTGTGTTATATTATCGGAGGCTGCTCTGAACAGAGTTTGTACAAGTTTCCTTGTATATATATATATATATATATATATATATATATATATATATATATATAATCATCCCGTATTGTGCTACGGGGGGCACGTCTGAATAGAGTACTGACACACATCTACATAAACATGCATATGCATTGTTATATTATTATAGACCACCTGCTGGCGACACACACAATCAAATTAGATGACAGACATTAATAAACATTTCATCATCGTCGACAGTGACAAGTCTGTATCGTGTGAAAGTAATCTATAATTTGCTTATACTGAAAACATACCATATAACGTTATGGTCTGTTGTCGATTTAAAAGTAAGAATATAGGATGATGAACAATAATAATTTTTTGGAATATGAATATTATATTTCGAAATGAATGTAAAAACACATATGCTCAAAGCTAAGAGTGTTTATAGTTCATAACAAAGCAGGTAAACTAAATATATTCATCAAACATGCTGATTGATCAGGTGATAAACGAAACTTTGTAAAATGTGATGGAATAAGGATTTATTTAAAATGGAACTATATGGAATATGAAACGAAGTAATAATTTACGAAATAAAGTTTGTATGTTATACACGTACGCATTTATAAAAAAAATACTGATTGAGCTTAAACTGAATATGCAGGCGAATAATGGCATATACTGCAGAGGTAAGAAGCCATAGCTTGAGTGTTGATATTAGATGTTAACATACATGTATGGACCATCTTCACTGACAGTAAACATAGGCAGGCTCTTCACAACCTGGTTATGCGCCCGTAGCTACATGTATGTTCGTCACCATCGTCACTTGCATCACAATGTATTCCATCGTAGACATGTGTGTCATCATAATGACTGAGGCCAGAGTTGGTGGTGTGACAGGTGGGAATTAGGTCATCTTTTCCTTTGGATCCTTTAGGGATGCTTTGCATATCATGAACTGGCGTTAAAGTATCGGATGAATTACCGTGCGAGTTTCTCCTGGATAGATTGTTTACCCTGCTGCAGTAATGAAAGTTTAACATACCATAATTCCGATCAATCCCGAGCGCCAGGTAGGGTAACAACAATTACCATATTCTAACGTCTTTGGTATGACGCGGCCGAAAATTAAACCACTGTTTGGACTACCGCTATTCCCACTTGACAACGGTTGCGGCCTCTTTTTCCATTTTCAGGCTTATCAGCGACCTGCGTTTTCCACCTTTGAATGAAAGCAGTGGATTTTCCAATTATAGCCAGTCTATTATGTGAAGTTTATCTGCATGTTTTTTGTATTCAGGGTGTTTCTGCAACGCAGTAGACCATTGAGTAAAAAAACTTATTATTGCACATGAGGAAATAAATGTCCGTAGATTATCTGTAAAGCATCGAAGGATACATGCATTCGTTCCTTCGTTCGTTCATTCATAGGGGAAGTGTTTTGCTGCTGGGAAGTGAAAGTTACTATGATCCTCGTCAGACAGCTTTTTGCTCTATGTACGTTAATGACGTGTCTCTTTGTGATCATGTAGTGCTCAGAAAATTACTTTTAAAAGACATGTTGGCATGTTGTGTGTACACAGTAATACTGAGAAAGTTAAATTAGACATTGACTATATCGGTAAGATGTTTATTATAAGATGTATGCCTTGAGTGATGTTCGTTGACGTCATTGTTCACAAATAGGTTTCGTATGCGAAGTATGCTTCTTTAGCGCTACTCTTCTTACAGTACCTCTACCATGATCAGTTGAATTCTACATGGTATGACACCCAACTAGAACGCGATCTCTGCGACTAAAATTGACACTGAGAGTGAAGTGAGAACTGTATTTGTGTATATTTGTAATTTCCATGTTATTGAAATGGTAGAAGGTACATTCATGGACGAAAGAAAACAAATCAAATTATATCTCAACCTTTCAAAGGGACAGGAATGATAGACTGGGATAGAAGTTCCGGTGACTAAAAATTGGGATAAGCTGGCCCGTCATTTCATTAAGTCAGGCTGTCTAATTTGCCCACACCTTCTGGAGTGGTGCTGTACAGGTATTAGGGGGTATTATACAGGGCAACTATTACATGTTCTAGTAATTAGATAACTGCAGGAAAACTCAAGGTCATAAAACTGTAGCCATGGACGGCACTTGTTAAATGTGTGTTATGACAAATGTCCATACTCATATAGGTAAAAACTAAAAATATAGTTATAATCAAATCTTATAGCCAGCTAATATAACTGATCACATATGCTCAGGGTCATAAAACATCATCAGGTGACACTCACTCGTAGTAGTAGAAGATGTGCTTGCTGTTGCTGCAGTTGTCGGTGTGTCCGAATGCGTTTGACTGGTGGAACTTTGTGGACGTAAGGGCCTCTGTGCTGACATGGGTTTTGGGGTGCTTGATACATCCAATATTAGTTGCTTGGAACTTATATCCGTTTCACCTGAAGCTATGAACATTTATTTCTGTATCAATCTCTACATCTCTCTGTCAGCTGTTACTATTAGATATAAAACAGTCGAACTTAAGGTACTGTAGCCATCGACCACACTTAATAAATGTGTGTCATCATAAATATTCATTCTCATACAGATAAAAACAAAACAAATCATGATAACGTCGTCACCAAAGGACACTCACCCATAGTAGCAGGTGTACTTGCTGTTGCTGCAGTTGTTGGTGTGTCCGAAGTCTTTTGACTGGTTGTACCTTGTGAACTTGGTGGCTGCTGTGTTGACCTGGGTACTGGGTTTCGTATATTCAATATTTCTCCATCGGAAATTATTTCCATTTCACCAAAACCTATGCACAACTCGATTCTGTAATAATCTCCAGGTCCGAGTTACATCTGTATCTTAAATAAGAGATGCGAATTGTGGACATAGCGGGAAACCAGTTGACCATAGAGCCAAAGTTATGTAATTCATTCAATGTGGAATAGGTAAATACAGTATGATACAGGTTGAAATCTACCGCATATCAGTCACCTCACACATCATCACACGCCTCAGTACACTCACCAAAACAAGTAGGGGATAATCAAAACTAAGAGATGATTACAGAAATACAAAGAGGTATCGAGTGATGGTAATTAATGGATCGATAAGAAAAGGTGTAACATAACATGTTGCCATGTATGGTAAGGGTGCAAAGAACCAAGACAAACAAGTCTGTGTAGTCTCAAAATGGACGTTTAAGGTGACTTGAACATTGATAGAAGACCCAATCATGTGTGACATGGCATGGTTCGAAACAATCTTCCAATGACAGATTGAGTGAGTCGTGTCTACTCTTGCAGATCCTGGCCCTTGTCGGATAACACAGCGAAGGGCACGACTCCCTGTTGTATACAAGGCGTGTTCTGTGGGGGGAAAGGCTAAGAAGCATTGCATTCTCGTGATGTTTTGCTGCTGGAGGTTGTCAGGTACGATACATGCACGGTGGGCACGAGCGTCATCATCTTGACCCACAAGACAGTCATAGTGATCCCATCCCAATATCATTACAGACCCATCACAATATCTGTCAAATCTGCTAAAACAAGGCCAGGGTGCCGCTGTACAAAACGGTATTAGAGCTAATATGATCGTAACTCCCATACCTTAAGACAGACTTGCGACAGTCGTAGCGCTGTGGTTGTTTTGTACAATGGTTCCCTGGTCGGCAGGGAGTGAGTAGGTTGTCCATGTTAAGACTGCGGCATGCTATATCTGTGGACTAGCGCAATAAAACTCGCATTACAAGCAGTCACACACACTTGCATAAACTTGCACAAACGTCCCTATATATATAACAGACTTACATGTATCTAAGAACTGTCTAACATGTAGTTGAATTAATAACCAAAACATATCGGTTGATGGACAAAGATAATTTTTGGAATATTAATGTTTTATTTCGGAAGGAATGTAAAAACGCATAATCACACATCTTCAAAGCTTAGAGTAATAATTATTACTAACAAAGCAGATAAACTGAATATATTTATCAAAAATGCTGATTGATCAGTTGATAAATCAAATATTGTGAAATGTTATGGAATAAGGATTTACTGGAATGTGTATAAAATGGAACAAATATAGAACACATTTTCAAACTTTAGAGAAATCATTTCCAAAATAAAGTGTATTTGTATACGTCCGCCGTTATAGAAACACTGGTTAGTCTCACACTGAATATACAGACCACTATTTTATTTCAAAGGAATGTGAAAAAGCATAACCAGATATGTTCAAAGCTTAGAATAATATTAATTCATAACAAAGCAAGTAAACTAAATATAATTATCAAGCAAGCTGATTGATCAGGTGATACTAGTAAACGAAACTTTGAAAAATGGGGTGGAATGAGGATTTACCACAAAGCCATTGAAAACACAATAGCTTTTGATGAGCGTACTTGTGAAAAGAGCAATTGCCCTAAACCTTTTTAAACATCATGATGGTGCTGTGAGAGTTATGTGTCCCCTGGTGACAGTTCGGGTTCGAACCACCTTGGAGCAATAAATCAGAAAGTGAAAAACGCAACTGTGCACACTGCACCGAAAACAAATCACTGTTGCTGGACACATGCTGCACGTGAAAAGCTAGATCCCAGGTTCTTTAAAAGCACACACGAAAATGGTCATCGGTCACTTGTTCAATCGGTTACATGTTATAACTGATAAGTGCAAATGCGCATTGACCGCTCTTATACCTGCGAATAATGGTATATGCTGCAACAATCTGAAACACTAGCTTGTGTGTTGTCTCTAGGCGTTAATGTATGGATCATCTCCACTGACCGAGTTGACGTACGAAGGTCCTTCACTACTGTTTATGTGACCGTAGCTATGCTCGTCACCGTCTTCACTTGCATTACGTTGAATTCCATTGTAGATATTTCTTTCAACATCATGGCTGAGGCCAGAATATGTGTTGGTGGTGCCACTGGTGGGAATAAGGTCATCTTCTCCCTGGGGTCCATTAGGGATGCTCTGCACACCATAATGAACTGACGTTTCAGTATTAGATGAATTACCGTGCGAGTTCCTGGAAAGCTTGTTTACCATGCTGCAGCAATAGACGTTTTGCATACGATCATTGTATAATATTAACAAGGTTGCATTTTGACTCCATAACCAAGTGCCATAATATCACACGTATAAATCAAACAGTTTGATGTACTTACATATATATGATGAGCGCCACGATGATGAGACCCATGATACCACACACAACTGCTAAGGGTAAAACAATACTTCCATTGTCTGAAACGAGATACATGAAGCCTTTAACGTGGATATTTCTGCTTTTGTCAGTGCCTTCATTGCACAACGAGCTCTCGCGTGTATACACACACACGTGAATGCACACTCTTACACAAAATTATTTCCATATTTCGTATAACAATGTCATTGGTTGTCGTTATAACATGTACATAAAGATACCTGTGTGTGTCGTTGACAGGGCTGTAGAGGTAAGGGATGTCATTGTGTCGGTTGATCCCTGAGCAGTAATATTGGCTGTTCTTTCAGACAGTGTAGAGATGCCGTTGGATATCCGTAGCGTTGTGGCTTCTGACGTAGTTAGTGAATATGTATGGTAAATGAAACATAATGAGTGATTTCCTCTGTGGTTAGTATGCATGGCCGTCGCTGGTCTTAAGAGGCGATCAAATAAATCGGGGTGGTCAGGCCCGCTGACTTGGTTGATTGTGAATCTATGTATCCTGATGGCGTGTGGATCGTTGCTCACAAATAACAATGACTGGATTGTCTGGTCCAGTTTCGATTATTTACAAACCGCCATCCTATAGCTGCAATAATAGTACGGCAAACAAACACCGAGAGACCAAATCATACTATTTCTTGTCCTCTTAACAGAATAGGAACAATAGATAGGGATAGAAGTCCACTTCTCGTTACTAATTAAACATCGGACAACTCATTTCATTCAGTCAGGGACCGCCTACGTGGTCTGGTGGTAGAGCGCCCGCCCGGAGAGCGGAAGGTCCGGGTTTCGATCCCCGGCCGCGTCATACAAAAAGACGTTAAACGATGGTACTTGTTGTTACCCTGCCTGGCGCTCGGCATTAAGGGGCTAAAACAAGGACTGGTGGGCTCGGAGTCAGTATACTGTGCCTGAGTGGGGTATTCATGTTAAACTGCGGCATGGTATCTCAGTGAGCTAGCACTATAAATCGGCATCTGACCGGACTAGTACAAGCAGCCACACACACACACACAGACATGCACGTCGCAATATAAGCGCAATAATCTAGGACGCGACGTTAAACCCCATTTCACCTCACCTCATTCAGTCATGCTCTCTGCTCACACCTTCTGGGGCAGTGCTGTACTGATGTTTTAACGTATTGTACAGGACAGTCTATGTAAGCTATTACACGTTCTTGTAATAAGATACAGACTCAGGAAAACTCAAGGTAAAAACACTGTTGCCATCGACCACACTTGTCTTCTCAAATGCGTGTCATCAAACATGTTCATACTCATACGTACATGTATACCCAAACAAATATAATGGTAAGCCATCTGATCACCGTTGACCAGGGTCATGAAACATCCTCATCAGGTGACACTCACCCATAGAAGTCGAAGGTGTACTTCTTGTTGTTGTTGCAGTGGTCAGTGTGGCCACAGTACTTGGACTGGTTGCATCTTGTGAACGTGATGACGCCTGTGTTGACGTGGGTACTGGGGTGGTTGATGCATCCAATGGTTGTCGCTCAGAAGTTACGTTCATTTGACCTGAAGCTGTGAACAATCATTTTTGTAGCAGTCTCTAGGTTCAAGTTCCATGTTGATCTTAAATAAGTGATGCAACTTCTGGTATAATATGTGTTGATACCTACTGCATACCTGTTAAGTCATCATATTTTCTTAGTATATTACGGAAAATTGTTAAAAGATGGCTTCTTTTCATTATGGCTACACTGTACGTTTCCTTTAATGGAACCAGCAGTTCTTGAGAGGCTGTCACAATTGTATTTTTCTATATAATAAATTGAACAAATCAGAAACTATGTATATTTTATTGTCAGGATAGATTGGTTCATGAGAGAAATTTTATCATTAAATTGATCAGACTGGACTGACTGAAGGTAGATTGAAATAATTACATGTTTTCTCGGATAGTGAGGCAAAATTCAAATCAAGACCGGCATCAGATTCTATTTGTTAATTTATTTAATAATTGATGGTTATCAAATAAGGAGACACGTCAAAAGATAAATTTGATTTATACTCTCATACGTACCAGAAACATGTATCCATACATTTGACCCAGTCTGATCAAGGTTGTCATAGACTATTACTATTTCAGCAGCTGTTTCCGGCAACACCCTGTTGTATTGGTCTACATTCACGTTTGTCCAGATCTGTCTCCCGTCACCTGAGATGTTAAGCATCCCCGTCTGCATCCGCTCTTGTATCAATGTTACTCGTATATCCTGCCCTGTGATCCTAACAACACAGCTGCCGTTCACACCGACACTGCCAGGGAATCCCGGGGAATGGAGGTACACCAACCCGTTTACTGTTGTGCTGACTGAACTACAGATATTCATACTTCCTGTAACACAATGCATATAACAAGTAGAACAACTTACATGTTAGTATTCAAATTAGTGACATATTTTATCATAACAGGTCATATAAAGCAAATTGCTCCCATGTATTCTTGATTTCGTTTTGACGCCCGGTTGATCAAGGCTGAAGCTGAAACACACATGAATCACTGGAAATGGAAAAGCATTATTACCAGGGACACACTTAGGTCATGATGCAGGGGACAGTTGGCATGTAGTTCTAGTCAGTTGGCATGAGCGTCTAGTCAGCCTCTAGTCAGGAGGTTTAATCAGTTTGCAGTATCCTTTAGGTGGTAATTAAAAAACGTATGCTATAATTGATGGCAATGGTGGTGAAAGATGTTATGAAGGCAGTCCAGTATTTGGACCCGCTTCTTGTTTTGTTATGTCATAAATCACAAACAGGAGTCGGTGCAATTAAACGCTTACTAGGTAACGAAATATGGTACTCATACACGTGTAACCTTGACATGTCAAGATGCATTAATGGATATTGTAACGAACAATATTTCGTTCGCAAGAATAAACACAGTTATGAGGATGTCTATAAACCGGCACTACTACTACTACTACTACTACTACTACTACTACTACTACTTATACTACTACTACTACTGATACTACTACTACTACTACTACTACTAGTATTAGTAGTAATAATGATAAGGAAGAAAATTTATGGATGTCAACTTTTTCGGAGTATATGCTTACTCCTTCATCAGGTGAATAATAATAATAATAAGAATAATAAGAATAATCTGTGTAATTATCTGTAAAATGATGCCTGTTACCATATGTGTATCTCATACGTACATGTAACTATTGAAGAAACTAGAATTGTGATGATACGAAATAATCGACACAATAGATGCACAAAGCCACAATTAAATATGTGGCTGATCACGATACGTTCGATATAGTCCCATGTGACTTTATTTTCATATCCTAAAAGCCTGACACGATGGATGTTTTAAATGTAATTACATTTTTGCCTCAATCAGTTGTGAAATCGTGGTGGTGGCCTCAAGGAACTACACGCTCACCTCGAGATGTGAAGTCACGGACGACGTTTTCGATCCGATACAATCCAGACATGCATAACCAGTAACAGTTATCGCATGGTGCATGATAGGTTGAACCGCGAATCCTTGATAACACAAGTGTTAATTCTCTACAGAAAATATAAACTTGTTTGTTCCGTTTACTGACTTGCAATACATGTACGTGTTCTGTATGTCAGTTACATGTTGTCATGTTCCGATCTCCAAGCAGACACTCCATCCACGAGACCATGGAGCTAGTCCATCATAAGGCTCATCAGTAAGTCTTGCAGTGACATCAACAGGCTAACATACCATGTTGCAATGACATCAACAAGCTAGCATACCATGTTGCAATGACATTAACAAGCTAGCATACCATGTTAGTCTTACATTATTCCTGCAGTGTCTCGCAGCAAAATTAACAAATTATCAGATGTTTGTTTGTTTGTTGTTTAACGCCGCACCCAAGATCAGCAATATTCCATCTACATGACGCCAAATAGTCTGGGACAGACAATCCAATGATTTACATCGTGAGCATCGGCCAATGCAATTGAGATACGATGGCCTAAAATCAATCAAGTCACTGATCAGTAAGCCAGGCCACTTGATCCTGTTAGTCACCGCTTAATTGCTGAAGACCAATTCTAATGATGATAGGTTCTTAGGATGCGACTGGAACACCCGTTTTCCCCTATTATAATATGACATATCATAAGATTTCAGGCTAGAGGTGGGGCGTTCGCTCGTCACGCCGAAGATCTGGGTTCGATTCCCGACATGGGTACAATGTGTGAAGCCCTTTTCTGGTGTCCCCCGCCGTGATATTGCTGAAACATTGCTAAAAGCGGCGTAAAACCATACTCACTCACTCACTCACTCAGGCTAGAGGTTGCAAAAACAACAATGCACGTCACCACCCGTATATGTCGTCATACGTTTACGCACTATGATTAATCTTACTTTAATCTCACTTACACTCCGTCGCATCAGACTAATAGAGCCAAGTAGTATTTTTCTGATTTTAATCAAACCTAAATTTAACACATATATTTGTAAAAAATGTTGACAAAGCATGATGTGCGCATGAATGCACTGTATCCGATAATCGTGAAAAGCTAAATAATGTGCCAGCTTTACAACATCCTGCACATAATGGAATCTTGATCAGGCAAAGCAGTGCATGATAACACGAGCAACGTGCCAAGATGAAGAGTAGGATGACAGTTGGTTAGACAGAACAATCATTGCGATTTGTATGGGTGTTAGTATGTTCTACTCTAGGAACCACCATGTAGGAAAATACATGCTTCAATGAATGTGTCGTGCGAAATGCAGACAATAACAAGACTTGCAAAGAATGAGGTTAGATGTCGTGTACAACCACATCGACTGTCCATGAACGACAAACACCTGCTGTG